TAATGTTCATAATAGGAGTCATTTGAGCATTGGGACTATGGAACATAACGAATCAAGAATTGTACATTTGAATAATATAATATCATTACAATCGTTTCTTTTCTAATAAATCAGTCGGCTAAAGTGATTAAAATTCCGAAACGTCGTTTCCGTGACCGACGTAAATCCGTTGCGTTGACCGTTTTCTTCGTTTTTTGTACTTTGCTGTGATTTTTAAAAGCCCCGTTCCTTATTAATGAGATGTTTCCATTCTGAACGTGTAATCTCCAGTTTTGTCAAAATTGAGTAAGACATCGATTCTTAGAGTAAAACTGGCGACTAAACACGATTATTATTTTCTACGTATTAATCAAATAAAAAATAGGTGTTTCGATTTAAAAAAAAATTAAGTTTTTTTTTACAAAATGATGCTTCTTATAAATAAAATGTTCATTATTCTGAAATTTATAACCGTTAAGTTTAGCAAAAATAGTTATATATTTTCCAAAGAAAAGTGTCTTTATGTCTAACGAATAATTTTGTAAAGATTTGTTGTAAATACTTATTACGTACATCGTTTTCGTAAACCATATTTGATATTGCCAAGTTGTTTAATTTTGTAACTTCTAGTTTTCAATTGATATCTAGTTTAGTTCATCTGCTGTAATTTCATTGATCTTAATAATACCTAAATAAAAAACATAATATTTATGATTAATAATATTTGTATGCGTTGTTTGTAAAAATAGTTATAATTGAAAATTACTTTTATAGCGTTTTCCACTCTTCTGAACTATTGCATCCAGGTGACAAATTAACCGGGATAATCGTAGTGAAATAAAAATATGCAATACAGTATGCCCCAATTCTGTAGGTTAAACAAAATAATATTCATTAGGAAAACATTATAAATAACTAAATAATAATAATAAATATAATAATTAAAATTAATTTTATGTTTAACAACTCTGTGGCTTGGTGCAAGAAGGGCCAATGTCAAAATTTGTTAATATGATTTAATAATGATTTGTTAATTTGTTTTGATAATTCAGCTGTAGTCTAAATTATACCTGCTGTAATATTACTCAAAATTCTTATCTTTTATTATCCACCTCCCGTCATCAGTCATTCTCACTTTCAAATGAATATAACTTTTAAACGGATGAATAAAAATACAAATTTTTTTTACCAATTCTTTTTTAAAAATTATTTTGAACAAAATGGCTATCTTGAAAAAAAATAAAAATATGTAATAAAAAATTTTAAAAAACTATTAAAAAAAGTAAAACAGGTAAGTGCAATAAAAACCACGGTGCTTATAGCGCAAATAAGTATAAATTATTAAAAATAAAAAATCTCAAAAATATTCACTAGAACAAAAGTTATTTCATTTGTCAAATCTTTGTGGGTCACCCTGTATACTATAAACGAATTAACGCAGGTAGACGGACGTATATTATATCTGTACGACGTTATTCTTTATCTATGATTATTATTATATTTTGTTTGGTACTTGTTATTATAATTATATCAGGCTTTCAGTAAAAAAAAATGTAATTTTTTAATTTAAACTGCCCCTACTTGCCCCCCCCTACGGACGCCCTTATCTGAGAGGTGGTAATTAGTTTTTGTGGAAATTCTCCTCATCTATACATTTTTAGTCAAATATGATTAAGTTAAAACTGTTTGTGTAATGATATTTTATTGAATACGTGTACAATATACACTATACGAATAATACTATGAATAATAAAATAATAGTAATATATTGAACTACGTTATATTTAATTAACGTGTTCAGAAAGCTGGAAGTGTCTTAATCGAACTATGATACTTTTTTGGAAAACTACAAACTTAAAAATAGTGCTTTTCAAAATACCTACATTTATTTCTTAGTGAGAAATTTGTTGAAAAATAAATAAATGTAGCACTAATTTTAAGCTTCAAAAATTTTAGAATCCCAAGGCTCCCTCCCCTAATCTCCGCTAATAAACTGTCAAAACGTTTTTTAATGTATCTAAAAATAAAGTTAAAAATAAGTATAAACCTATATGTACATGCGCTTAATTTTATTCATTGAATTTGCACAAGATAGTATTTACCTTTATACATAATAAATAAATATATACTTTAATTGTATTATAATAAACTATATTTTAAGCCTTCATAGATAATTAACTTATAGCTAATAATAACGATTTTCAATTGATATTTGCAAATTTTTCTTAATTATGTTCAACATATAAATGATTTAATATTGGTTGTTTATACAAGATTACATTAGATAATATTATGCATTCAATTTTATAGCGTAAAAACTTAACTACGCAGAATGCGTTTAATCGTTCTATTGTCGGCGTTGTGGGAAAATATCTAATATGTAACCGAAAACAAATGATATTAAAGAGATACTATCACATTTGATTTTTAGAAAAAAAAACAGTAAAACGCAATCTGCGTGGATATATTTTGGTACAAATAATGTAGTTATTAACGAACGTTGTTGATGGTCTGATAAAATAACTGATTGTACAAATAAATTTAGTCTGGACAAAAAATTACCTACGAGTACATCAAACTTTTTAATAATTAGATTGTAAAACGTCCTTTTAACTCCGAATCCGAAATCCTATTATTTGTACATCTTTTAATGCATTTTCAGATTCGTCAGTCGTTCAATTATTGCTCTGTTGACTGTTTGTCTGTAGACATTTTTTAAAAAGTTTATTCAGGTGTTAGAGGTCTACGGCGTTTATACAATTAACGCATTATACGCTTTTATTGGGTATCACAAACGAGGCATACACATTACGGTCGATTGCAGTCGCGTCTTAATTGTATAAGGGTGTATCAAATATTGAATTAGTATAAGTTCAATTATACGCCTTTGCCTAATAATCAAAGAGCAGTAAAAAAATGCATTTACCATGTAAACATTAGGGCGGAATTGGTAATGAGATTCAAGCTTGTTACGGGGAAAAAGTATTAAAGGGGATAAATAACGACAAATTGTCAGATTAAATAAAAAATAATATATTTATAAAAAATAAAACTCACTATACAGTGCGAGTGACGAGTGTTTCATACTTTTATAAAAATATATACCAATGTTAGCTTCGATGCAAATATATAATATAATATTAACAGTGAAAACTAATTACCAATCTAATGCATTTGATTTGGATATTGCGATTTAAGAGAGTTGTACAAACAGAACTACTGATGAACAGCTCTAATAATTAACAGAAGGTGCAGAGCTAGACTTTAAACAATGTTTAAGAGAAATATATTTAGTTATTATTGAAACCACGAATACCTTAGGTAATATTGATCTTTTTTTGTATCATAACTTTAATAAATACTATAAAAAAGTTTAATTAAAAAAATTAAGAAAAGGTGAAATCGTAAAAAATTCATCCAAAAGCACTTACGATTTTTTTTAAATTTCATGTAGAGGAAACCAAAATAAGCATATAAAAGCTAACTATAGATTACTAAATACTAAATGCTATTAGAAATATCATTTGAAAAATTCAATAAAAGTTGAAAAAACGTGATTTAATGGTGAATTATAAATTTAAAACAACTTCCGTAGCGCAGAGTAAACGTTCTTAGCTGGCTTTAACTGTTTGTATTTTTTTATCTAAGGTATTTATTGAGCTGTACTACTGGAAGTTCATTGAAATGTTTTTTTATTAAATTGTAAAACACATTCGGCATAAAAAAAAAATCGAACAATATTTTGGAGTACAGCTCGGTCATAGTTGGTTTGCTTATATAAAAGTAGTAAAATTGTAACTTTTTAGTTAATATACTTAACCTGACAACTTTCCAAGAACTTACAGCAGTTTAAAGTTAAATTTGGAACATTTAAAATTGTTTTTATAATTTTCAAAAGGGAGTAGTAACCTTGTAACCTTGTAGTTATTTATTTGTTATGAATATATCTATATATATATATATATATATATATATATATTCATAACAAATAAATAGGTTAGGTTAATTGTATATATATATATATATATATATATATATATATATATACAATTACATATTTTAAACACGTAGCGGTCTTAACTTATAGGCCCTAATAATAGTACAAAAAAGGAAGTTCCCACAAAAACGGTATATTAGTATTCTAACATCCGAGTTCGGTCTCTCCTGAAATAGCCATTCCGGGTTCACACTGAAAGAAAATTCTTATTCGCGTAGATGGCTGTCAAACGCCGAATATAGAAACCGCCTAGAGTGCACAAGCGGAAATCACTTCTCAAAGTACATTTATATACATTGACAGTATAGCTGTGGTCGATAGGGATAAAACCAAGTTGTATCAACAATTTTAAGTCACCGTGTAGAGCTAATAGTCATACAGTAGGTAATACGAAAATGAAATACTTTTATAAGAAGAAAATATGTCATTTCCACTGATATTCAGTAATAGCTTTTCCATTGTTGACAATTGAAATTGAAATAAACTGTCATCGTAGTAAAATGTTAGCACAGTAGGGGAAATAAGCAATTACGCTATATTGATTGAAGTATGAAAAAGTTTAAACGAAATAAAATCGCCTACCACAATATGTAATACAGAACGACGTAAGACTAATTTTCTATAGGAAACTAATTTATTAGCTGTACCCGGTAGTAGAAAAAAATTCAAATATGTGTAATAAGTTGTAATAGAATGTGTTATAAATTATGTTGAGTTTATATTATTTTAAAATGTTGACAGTCTTTTGATCCAGTCCTATCGTCCGAGGTTGCGTTAAATATTAACCCTTTGAGTGTTTTTTTTTTAATGTTTTGTATAAACACCACGCGTAGACTACCAAAGGGATGTGGACGACACGAAAACGAGAATCAGAACGGGTGAGCCCTTTTTTGAAATTTAACACCACCACGACCCTTCCCTTACTAGCTGCAGTCTCCCAGGGCAGTACCCGACAGTCTGTTATTAAATGTTAACCGAGCCGCACGCATACTCCGGTTAGGCAGTCTGTTAGCCGCGTAAATTTCGAAATTATGTCTACTTTATAATTTGGTCGACAACGAGCAAATTTTGAACCATCAGTTATCAGCGGTCCTGTTAAAAGTAAACGGTAAGTAAATCTCACATCGTTTTATATTTTTTATGTGCTAGTGTTGTATAGTTTTTTCTGGACCAATTACGGTGATGAGACAACGTCTGTCTATAATAATTTGTTTCCATGGTTACTTATATCGTAATAATAATATAATGAAAATATTTTCAAATATTTGTTAGCTGTTGATTCATAAACATTAGTGACCTAGAAATTTACAACGGTCAAAGTTTATGATCTTCTCTGTTTTTGGGTTTTCCTTAATATAAAAAAACTTTGACTACAGATTTTTTTTTAAAAAAACCGTACATGCTCTAGATCTATCTTCAGTCTAATATTCAGACCTTCAGTCCTAAAACTTAGAAACAAAGGAAAACATTTCTACCCCTTTTTTAAAATAAAAGTTTTATGATATAAGGTATAATAATATTATCTTTTAATAATACCACGTATAAAAGATAAAGATAGCGACATAATCAGAATAAACAAAAATATTTAAAAAAAAAACTATGCAGTCACAATCAACAGATTTAATTTTATAAAAATGATTGTGTTTGTTTAAAATGTATAATAATGTAATTTTTCAAATGGTTTTTTAAATATTTTTTCAATTTTTGTGACTGGACTCACGTTTACCCTGCGTTACTACTCTATACAAGTGTTACACCGCTGCTACTCTGGGTCTCCTGGACCCAGTTTTTCAAATTTACCTCAAATTCCCAAATATACTTCTAGAATACTTATTTAACATAGTAAAAACAAATTCCTTTTTTATTTATAACATACCGATAATATATACCGAGATTTGAACCACGGCTAGTGCGTAGAAACACTGCACAGTGGTCTAAAATCAAAAAACGGTGGCCAAAAATAAAAAAATAAAAATGGAAGATGTAATTTTTTTTTAGGTTGTTACAATACTACTTAAGTTCTCTGAAAATTAAAATTAGAATTTAAAATATTGATTTGAAATTTTACTTACGAGTTGTTGAAGTTGGAAGAATCGAAAATAATTTGGTTGCTAATTCACGATTTTTATTATAATATATAATTATTTAAATTTTTTGGTAGTTAATTATTTTTTTAGGACAATTACATCATACTCAATCGTGATTTAAAAGATTTTTTTCATCTAGAATGCATTTTACCCGGTGCATATTACAATTAGTGTAAAAACTCTTATTATAAAATCAAAAGATAACAACATTTTGCAGACAATATGTTATCGAATTAAAAAAAAATAATAGGAAAAAAGTTAAAATTATTTTGAAAAAGTAAAAAAAAAGGTGATTTAAATCTTTAAATATTAGGTTTATAAAAAAAAGCTATGACATTGTTTCCAAAATCTTGTTATCCCCTCATTTTCGTTATAGGTATTTTGGTTTTAAATCGATAAACAGCGATGGAACGCAATATGTGTAGGTATGTTTTAACGCTAGCAAATAAGATGTAATCGACGCGTCATAATGGGTACAATTTAAAATTATTAAACATAAATGTTGTCTACTGTTGTACTAAAACATAAATAAAAAAATTCTCAAAAAGAAACATCACAAATTTGCAAATATTTTAAGAGTAAACTCTAGTATAGGGAAAGAATAACCCGGTATATACTATAGTAAAGAGGAGCGAAAACTTTGTTTATTAAATAGCAAAATATATGCAACAAATGACAAAAATCTATTTTGTAGCCATTTTAAATATACCATCTAGTTTTAAAAAGAAAAAATATTAAGTTTTTCTAGTTATACAACTTTAGTTTTTTAAACGGATTTAAATTTTGTTTCATGTAGCTTACTATTTTCTCTGTTCGAGCTAAAATGCTGATTTTTGATGAAAAGTTATTAATAAGTAAAAACTTAAATGCTTTAATGACATTTTAAAAACAAAAATAAAAAATAGAAAATTTGCCGGTTTTTGTTCCATTTAATTTTAAGGTATTTAAAATAAAAGTCTTACTTGAAGTCGTGACTGATGTCGTATTCTTTTCTGTCTGGTATAACCATCGGGTGATATCGGATAGCTAACTGATGGCAGAAAATTTTAACCGCTCTTGTTAAAACTCCAACATTGACTACAACGCCTTTATCGGAAAATTTGAATATATGTACCGCCTCTGGGGTAGAGTAAGCGCGTAGAGCTATTTTTATCTGCGCGCATTACTCTACCGCACTCTACCTCCCATCGTACCCTTTAACGTTTAGTAGCTTAAAAAGTAATTATCAAAATCTAGTTATCGACCAGTCAACATTTTCATCAAACTAATCTTAGTAAAATGGCTATCTTGAACTAAAAAAAAAATTAAAACATTATTTAAAAAAGTAAAATAGTTAAGTGCAATAAAAAACGTGTTGCTTGTAGCGCAATTGAGTATAAATTGATAAAAAAAAAAAAAATAAAAAAATAATATTTTTTTCGTAACGTACTTATATTTGCAACAATTTTTTTAATGCTTTTAATCTGAAAATTCTATTTGTTATCATTAAATGTTTTAATATAATAAAAACATATTTAAAAAACCAGTGCAGTGGGGTCGGGGCATAGTGGGGACGGGGAGGTCACAGGTTTACAGGAATTTTTAATTTTGAAAGTGATAAAATCACTTCCGAAAAACTCCTTTGATGCAAATCGGTAGTTAGATTTTCAAGCCAGTACAGTCCAAACCAAGCACAGTATAAACCAGCAAAGTTAGAAAGTATTAAATTGAGTGCATCTACTGTTTTTTTTTTGCAAAAACATAGTTGACCAAATAACACATATACTTGTTTGTCTTGTTATTTTACTATATGTCAATAAAAATAATAATACTCGGAACGACAGCGGATTGACACTCCAGATCAATGTTAAATCAATAACTGATTATCGAATTACCGAATACCGACTACGTACAAATGTCATCACCCCCGACCTCTCTCTCATACACCATGGCCGGCTCGGGCCGATAAGGGGTTTTTCGTTCCCACCTGTACCGTGTACATGAGACGGTGAACAGTTGATAACGCGACCAGGCTAATCGCTATAAACGTTTTCAAATAAATGTTCACTTAAAAATTACAAAATAAAAAACCGATTATCAATAAACAATATTATTTTAGTTTTGATTTTTGCAAAAAAAACTCTAATATTTTTGTATTAAACTTTTATCAACTATCACTTTATAAATGTCATAATACCTACATACCTGAAAAAAAAAATTGAATTTGTGTAAAATAAAAGTCAAAAGTGGTACTTGAGTACAAAACTAGGATGTAGTATCATCCTACATAGGTCAACATAAAATTGTTTTAATTATTTGATAAATTTTTTTTTAAGATTTTAGGTCTTTTTGTTAAAATATACGCAATCTGCGAAAACACAGTTTTCAGGCAATTAAAAAAAAACTGTAATGCCGAATTTTTTTCCGTTTTATAAGTAATGAATACATATGAGTTCTAACTACTGGCAAACTTTCAACCCAAAGGTTTTAAAATTACGGCTAAGAACCCCGAAAAACAAAAAAACTTGTACCCCCCCCCCCCTAGGGTGATGGGAAATGGGTATAGCTTAAATTTGATACAACTGACGTATGCGGGCATACCAGATAAATATGTCTTATACATTTCAACTCGATCCGACTCCTTTTCTCGAAATCATAGCCAGTAAAAGTTCTAACTTAAAAACTCGTACGGTTTTTTTTTTGTTTTTTCAACTTTCGTCTGTGAAGAATTAAACTTTTTCAACTTTTACCCCCTCAAAGTACCAACTAGATAAAATTTGCGATTTATAGAGTTGCTACTCGAAGGAATTGGTCTAGTATTAAAAAAGTTACAGTGTAAACAGATAAAAAAAAAGCCCACATCAGAGTAAAACCAATACCTTCTCGCTTTGCATCGAAGTTAAAAATTAAAGGTTACAATAATATTTATGGAAGACTATAGATAGGTTATTTTTATACAAAATAGAAAACTATAATTATTGGAGGATGAATAGTGCGCGCAACGCACAGCAACACATCTACATCTCGAATTAAACTCAACGCGCCAACGCGAAAATGAAACCATAAGTACTTACTCAACGAGAGTACAAACGCTATTTCATGAACTGTGCAACGCAAGCTCATTGGAAAATCGGTCACCGAAGCCAAAATTATTCGCGACCATATCAAAAGCCAGACGTTAGCCACTTTTATCGAGGGGCTACGACAACCAGTAAAAGCAATTATAAAAGCTGGAAGACCGACTTCATCGGAAGCGGCAATAAAAGAAAGTTTGGAGGAAGAACGCATATATCAATCAGATAGAGAAACACAGCGATTCTTCAAAATTCCAAAAACCTAACGGCAGTGGAAACTCAAAATATTGCAGTCATTGTAGAACAAATACACACAATACCAAGGACTGCCGGTCAAAAAAATACAATACCACAAATAAGGTAACTGCGGAACCTACCACGTCATCTACCGTTAAGAGTGAAACAACGAACACGGGAGGGGGTGACCGGAAAAACAAGCTGTACTGCCGCTATTGTAAAAAACCTTGACATGACATTAGTGATTGTAGAAATAAGAAAAAGCAAGATGGACAGAGCGCAACTTATTGGGGAAACGAGGAGCGACCGACCGTCAAGAGCGAACGGACGGTGCGCGACTTGAAGCTCACGGCAACTACAAGCCAATCCGATCAATAACCGTTAAATTAGTTAACAATCATGTCAATTTCAGCATTCCTCAGTGTCACAAAAACAACGTTAATCTATTAATAGACACCGGAGCTAAATTCAACTTAATCAAGCTTAATTCTTTATCGGACAACATAACAGTAAATGTCAAGGACACATACTTACTACAAGGCATAAACGATAACCGGGTCGAAACGCTAGGATCCGTTCAGCTAGACATACACGTGAATAGTTTCGTACAGAAGGCAATATTCCAAGTCGTACCTACAACTTTTCCATTACCACAAGATGGTATTATTGGGCGACCTTTTCTCGAGGAAACCAAAGCTGTGATAAATCTTGCCGAGGATATACTCACGTCG